TTTTTCTTTTGAGACTGGGACTCCCCTTGTAGTCTTGGCTGACCTTGAACTTCCAGAGATCCACTTGCCTTTGCCTGAGTGCTGAGATTAAAGTGTGCACCACCAATCAGGCCCGTGTAAGACATTTTACAATATCCATACTGCCCCATCGGAAGATATACAGGCCAAAGCTGGCAGGGTAAACCTGTGATCCCATCACTGGGAAGGCTGAGGCAGGAGGATAGTGAGTCTGAGGCTGGGCTTCAGCTACTTACTTAGACTTTGAATCAATAATAAAAACACTAAGTGGGGCGTGGTGAGTGGTGCCTTCAGCCCTGGGGAAGGGGGGGGGGCAGGAGGGTCAGAAGGGCAAGGTCAGACTGGGCTACAATGGATTCTCTCTCAAAAAAAAAAAACCAAACAAACAAAACAACAACAAGGCACTAACAATAATTAAAAACAAATCAAGAGCTAGTGCCAGGACAGGCTCCAAAGCTACAGAGAAACCCTGTCTCGAAAAACTAAAAAAAAAAAAGAAAGAAAAAGAACTAATAAATAAATAAATAAATAAATAAAAAGGCGGGGTGGGTGTAGAGAAAGAAAGAAGAAAGTCTAGAGTCCAAGGCATGGCTCAGTGGCGGAGCTCTCATCTAGGATGCTGAGGCCTGGGTTCCATCCCCCAGGACGGGAAGGGAAGACAGCGTTCTGTTTCTTTTCCTGTCATCACGGCTGTACCGTGCTTCCATACCGGGAATAAAACAACAGGAATCCCCGTTGCTTATCACGTTTGCCCTTTCATTTTATCCTTCCGGAAAACACGGGAAAACCTCCAAGGGAGGACAGCGGGGCACACTCCCCGTGTTTCTTTTAACCAGTACTGTCCCTGGAGTCAGGACTTGTGGGTCTCCTGCATCCAAGTATACCTGCCCATCTGAGCAGGTATCGCCTGAGCTATCGGTCTTCTCCCCTCTCTGTCCTCACAGTGTCCCCTGACCACCAAAGAGTATTGATTCATCAGGCCCTCCGGTCCATCGATGGCCGCAGGGGGTTTCCAGATCCTTCCACTGGGAAATTTCTTTTGACTGTGGAGCCTGGCCATGGTGCATGGCTCTCGGTTGGGGGTTCTATACCCTACAGGCCTCACCCCCAAATGGAGGCTAACTTCCTCAACTGGACTTTTCTGGCCTCTGTGGCCCTGAGTCACCAGCCTTTCCACAGAGGTTGCTCTTCCCACAATGCCTGTGGCATGACTGATGTTCTAAAGTTTGCCTGCCCTCCACCCCTCCTTCAGTATTATTGATGTAACCTAGGACCTTGTGAATGATAGCCAAGGCTTTGTTCCTGAGCTGCTCCCCGCCCCCACTGCTTCCTGCCCCCCCCCTTGCCTGCATCATCCCTGTCATTTCAGTCTCACTGTGCAGCACAGCCTAGGGACACAGTTGAGGACCCTCTGCATGGCGGGCAAGCACTTGCTACTGGACAACCCCAGTTTCCCTTTTATGTATTCAGTTTTTTCTGTGTGCTATGTAGCCCAGGCTAGCCTCAATTCCATGATCCTGCTTTAGCCTTGGAGAAGAAGCACATGCCTCCACACCTGGCTTGAAGCGTTTCTTGACTATAGTCTTGTTCAAACTATTGCACAAGAGCAGAGGACTTTGTGGAGTGTGCGCTCCGCTTTTTCTGTCTTTCTCATAAACCCCAGGTGGCTCAACCCTCCCTTCACATATCTGAAGATGACCTTCCACTTGTTGGGAATGCAGGCCCCGCCATCAGCCCTTGTTATCATGTGGTGCTGAGGATAAACCCAAGGTGTTTTATGCATCATAGGAAAGCACTCTATCAGGAAAGCCCACTTCCAGCTTCCAGCTCTGCTTATATTTTCTTCCTTCCCCCCCCTTTTTTTTTGCATGCCAGACAGGTGCTGTTACAGAGCCACACCCCCAGCCCCTCACTGGGGGATTCTAGGCAAATAGTCTATGATAGAGCTTCATCCCTAGCAAGAACTTTGTGTGGTTTTTTTTTTGAGACAAGAGTTAATCTGTGTAGCCCTAAACTCACCCTGTAAACCAGGCAGGCTGGCTTCAAACTCACAGTGAAATCTTGTCTCAAAAAGAAATTGATTTTGAGAATGGGTCTAAAGTTGCCCAGGCTGCCCTCAGCCCCGAGTTTATGGAACGGCAGGCCTGCTCCCCCAGAACTGGCAAGAGCTGTGCTTGGATCTATGGAAGCAGCTCTTCCGGTGTCCCTTGGAAAGGGAACCTTCTGTTCCAGAATATGTAGGGAGGTTTCCAGCTTTCTGGAGCCAGAAAGGAGGTGTTATCCTGGGGCAGTGTGGTGTCTGGAGGGCTGGATGGTGTGGCCTGCAGGGGATTTTCCAACTCTAAGAGAACTCTCTGCCACCCTGCCAGCTGGCTTTGTCAGTCATCTGTTTTTGAGGCCAGCAGGCTGCAAGTCCTTTTTTTTAATTATTATTTTCTGTGTATGGGTGTTGTCCCTGTATGTGCCTGCACGCCACAGGCCTGCAGCATCCACAGAGGAGGGAAGAGGGAGATGGATCCCCCAGGAAGTTACAGATGATTGTGAGCTGCCATATGCGTGCTGGGAACTAAACCCGGGACTTATGAAATAGGAGCCAGTAGTCTTTCCACTGAGCCACCTTTTCAGCCCCATGGGTGTCCGTTCTGGTCCTCCTTTCCCCCACCCCAGGAACAAAATTTCCTGTTTTGTTTCCTCCATTTCCCACACTGCCTCATCCTGCGGCAAGCCAAAGCGATCCCAAGGCTCACTCCCTGCTCCCTGCCTCTCCAATCCCCCACCCAGTCACACTTTTTGATTCAAAGAAGTTGTTCTGAGCTCTCTGGGACATTCACAAGGACTCTTGACCAAGCCCCAGCTCCGTCTTGGTCAAGTCCCCCATGGCTCTTGTTCTCAGGACAAAGCCAGAGCAGAGTGCAATGGCCCACACACCTATAGTCAGCCCTAAGGCAATGGGTTGCTTTGAATTGGAGGTCAGCCTGGACTACATATTGAGCTCAAGGGTAAAACATGCTGTAGCCTGCCAAGTACCACTCAGTAGGGGACAAATAAGTGTTTGTCAAGGGTAGGAGCCTTGGTGTGTTCCTGCGATCCTAGCGCTCGGGAGACAGAGGCAGGAGGCTTAGAGTTCAAGCAAGCCTGGGATCCTTGAGAGAGAGAGGAAGGAAGGAAGGAAGGGAGGGAGGGAGGGAGGGAGGGAGGGAGGAAGGGAGAGAGAAAGGGAGAGGAAGGGAGGGAAACCGGGGCTAAGGCTGTAATTCAGTTGGGAGAGTGCTCGCCTAGTACACACAGAGTATTGGCTCTGTCCCCAGCACCAAGTGAACTAGATGGGATGGCTCAAGTCCTTAATCCCAGCACTCTGAGGTTAAGGCGGAGACAGGATCAAAATATCCATCTCATCCCCAGTACATAGGCGTTCGAGGCTGGAGTTGGCAAAAGTGGCTCAGCGGTAAATCAACAGCCGGCGCTTGACAACCCGAGTTTGATCTCCAGGGCTACCAAGGTATGAGGAGAGAACTGGCTCCCAAAAGTTGTCTTTGACCTCCAAACACTGCCGGATGGACACACATACCCACATGCACACACCTAATTATTAAAAAAATAAAAAATAAAAGATTTGAGGTCAGTCATAACTACATGAGCTTCCCTTCTCAATGAGACGAAAACACAAACAAACAAACCGCAACAAAAACAAGCCCTTTGACAACACATTAAGGGCGGTCAACCTGAAAGCGGAGACAGGGAGAAACAGGCAGGGAAGGGGCTCTCACACTGTCTGCCCACTCACCTATGACTCTGAGCCAAGTCACCCCCCTGCGGGTGCCATTGGGAAAGGTGGCAAACTCGCAGGTATAATTGCCCTCGTCCTCCACCCTCAGTCCCCGGAAGGCTAGCGTGGCTTCCCGCAGGTCCGCGTTTGTGTCCTCGTTTGCTCTGACAAAGGACAGGCGCTCCTTGTTGAACTGAGGGTTGGGGAAGTCCACGCCGAAGGATGGGTGGAAGGCGGCCACGACTGTGGCATCCAGGCGCTGCCAGGTCACCTGAGAGACGCGCTCGGTCGTGGGTGGGAGCAGGTGACACGGTAACTCCACAGTGCCTCCCAGGCGGCCGCGGACCTCTGGGAGCACTCGTACCCGCACATCTTGGGCTCCTAGGGAGAGAGGAAAGAAGTCAGTCATGTGGGGAAGGGAATAAGGCAGTGGTCTCCAGGACAGGCTGTGGCAAGGCAGAGAGGAACTTCCTACTCAATTGCTTTAATTTAGACGGGGTCTCAGTATGTACCTCAGGCTGGCCTAACTCACTATGTGGCCCAATGCTGCCTTGAACTCAGAGATTTGCCTGCCTCTGCCTCCCAGTGCTAAGATTAAAATCATTCGCCACCACACTTGACTCCCTCCTTTTCTTTTTAATTTTATTTTTTAGATTTATTTTTTTAGTTTACGTGATGGTGTTTTGCCCGTATGCATGCATGTCTGATGTCTGTGCACCATGTGCATGCAGTGCCACTGGAGGCCAGAAGGGGGAGTCTGAGCCTCCATGTGGGTGCTGGCAATCAGAACCTGGATCCTCTGGAAGGGCAGGCAGTGCTCTTAACAACTGAGCCATCTCTCCAGTTCCCCATCATATTTGATTCAGGGTCTTTGATTTGCCTGGAGCTCACCAGTTCAGCTAAATTGGCTAACAAATCCTTGAGATCCCCCTGTCTCAGCCTTTCCAGTTGCTGGGATTCCAGATGTTTGATGTTGCATCTAGCTTTTTGGAGCAAGGAGACTGCTTGTTCATCCCAGCTGCCTAGAACCAAAATAACCACACAGAAACTATATTAATTAAATCTCTGCTTGACCCATTAGCTCTAGCTTCTTATTGACTAACTCTTACATATTAATTTAACCCATTTCTATTAATCTGTATATCGTCACGTGGCTGTGGCGTACCAGGTAAACCAGCATATGTCTCTGGTGGTGGCTCCATCACTCCTTTCTAACCCGGCCTTCCTCCTCCCATGCTACAGGCCAAGCCAGTTTCTTTATTCGTTAACCAATAAAAGCAACACATAGACAGAAGGACCTCCCACACCAGCTTTTGACATGTGGTCCTCATACCAACAGAGAAAGGATTCTGTCCATCGGTCTGTCTCCTCAGCTCTGTCCTCTGTCTTACAGCACTGGAGAGTGCATGTAGGGCCCCACACATGCCGGGTGGGTGTTTCACCTCAGGAGCTACAGTCCTTTCTCCCTGACCATCACACCCATTACTTCTCACCTCCTGTGGCTCCTGCTGAACCCCTTTCTTGCCAACAAGTCTCCCTGATTTTCATGCTTTTTGTGATCCACTGAATCTAATTTTGGGTGCTGTGCCATAAGCATGGCTGTGGGCTTATCTACTGGAACATGGGCAACAAGCCTGAGGCCAGGCCACTCAAGAAAATGACTCCCCTTCCTTTAGCGACCATTAACTCCCAATATCTCCTCGAGGGGGTGGGGTCTTGCCAGTCCCTTTTCCTTTTTTTTTTCCTTTGGAGCCTGTCCGGGAACTCCCTTTGTAGACCAGGCTGGCCTCGAACTCACAGAGATCCTCCTGCCTCTGCCTCCCAAGTACTGGGATTAAAGGCATGCGCCACCACCACCCGGCCCTTTTCCTATTTTCCTACTTTATTTTTATTTATTTACTTTTGCTCTTTTTGAGACAGACTATCTCTACATAGAACCAATCATTCTAGAACTTGTTCTGTAGTCCAGGCTGGCCTTGAACACAGAGATCCACCTGCCTCTGTGCCACGTGTTTTGCCTATATGTATGTTTATGCACATGTATGTGTTCCTGGTGCCTGTGAAATCCAGAAAAGGGCATCAGATCCCCTGGAACTAGAGTTACAGACAACTGTGAGCTGCCATGTGGGTGTTTAGACTTGAACTCAGGTCCTCTGGAAAAGTAGCCAGTGCTCTTAACCACTAAGCCATCTATCTCTCCAGCTCCCAATTGCTCACATTAAAAAGATTATTTTTTAATTTTATGTGTCTGTGTCTGCGTCTGTGTGTGATGTGTGTGCAGGTACCTATGGAGACCTGAAGAGGGCGTTGGATCTCTTGGAATCAGAGTGACAGGCCCTTTACTGGAAACTGAGCAAGTCCTCTGCACTAACTGTTGAGGCTTCTTGCCAGCACCTGTCCCCCACTTTGAACGGGTACAGAAACAAGAAAGACTGCATCTCAGCTTTGGGAGGAAGTACTCCCCTTGACCCAGGGCACAATAATGTGTGGGTTAAACCCAGGCTCTCCATCTCCGTGCCTCAGTTTCCCAGCTGCATAATGAGGCCATAATGACAGTGTCGCACCCTCCAGGGGTGTTGCACCCTCCAGGGGTGTCGCACCCTCCAGGGGTGTTACGAGGACTGAGGAGCGCTTGGAGAGCACTTTAGCGTGGGTCCACAGGAAGCTTGAATTTGTAAACAAACCAAGAGGCTGATAATTACAAGTGGTCATTGCTGGTGAGCCCGAGGTGAGGTACTCATGACAGGACACATGACAGCCACCTGGAGAGGGCTGGGCAGAGCTGAGTTCCGGTACAGTGGTGAGTGGACAGTCCTCACACACAAGAATCCCAGGGAACCAAGGTGTGGCTGTAAAAGCTTTTAAGTCCAGCACAAGGGAGGCAGGAGGCTGAGGCAGATGAGTTCAGAGTTCTGTGAGTTCAAGGCCAGCCTGGGCCACGGTAGTGAGTTCCAGGACAGCTAGGGAGACATAGCTAAACCCAGACTCAATATATATACATATAAAAAGTCAGGGACCGAAGAGTTGGCTCAGAGGTTAAGAGCACCTGTTGCTCTTGCAGAGAGGACCTGGGCTCAGTTCCTAGTGTCAGCGTGGGGGCTCACAATCATCCACAGCTCCAGCCTTTCCTCAGACACTGCACATACTGTGCACAGACATATGTAGGCACTACACCAAAATACTTAAAAATCTTTAAAGAGAAGAAGCCAAGTGGCCCTGATGAGGGACTCTGGCAGAACACAAGACTGTAGACTGTGGACAGACAGTACCAGGGAAGATGGACAAGTGACAACCAGTGATGGCTTGGAGAGTCACAGCATCTCCAGATACGCTTCACTCGCAAACCCATACGGCATTGCCCAAAAGGACTTCATCCTCTGGGGCAGAGCAGAGCAATGTGGGCTTGCGGGAGGACAGCTCAGCAGTTAGAGCCCCTGCCTAGAATCCCCCAGTGAGGGACTGGGGTGTGGGGATGTGGCTCAGAGGTAGATCACCTACATAGCATATGGAAAGTCCTGGGTTTCAGCCCTATCACAGAGGGCAGAAGGGGCAGAAGTACTTTTTAAAAGAATTGCAACACAGATAGACGTGAGCTTCCTGCTGATTGCTGCTTCCGGGCTGGATGACCTTTTCAAGCCCAAGTTCTTCCATGTGTAAAATGGAGACATTTAAGCCACCCTGTAGGATCCCCTGGGACAATTCCAGTAAAAGATCTGACACTCTCTGCAGGCCAGGTCACAAGGTCAGCGCTTGTCCCCACAGGCTGCATCTGGCAGGGTTTGCGGTTTGCGTTTTTTTGCTTTGGCCTAGGCAGAGGTCTTACTTTGTTTATTTAGACAGGGCCTCATTGTTTAGCTCCAGTTTTCTTTGAATTCACAGCCATCCTCCAGCCTCACCACCCTGAGCACTGGGATTACACATCCTTGCAAATGTGAATTAGAGGTTCGTATAGCTAGACAGGAAGCACATTAAGAACAGCAAAACGGGCTTTCAAAGGTGTCAATGAGGGGCTGGTGAGATGGTTCAGTGGGTAAAAGTGATGGCCACCAAGACTGATGGCCCGAGTTCGATCCCCGAGACCCACAAAGTGGATGATGAGAATATATACTCCTAAAAGTTGTCTTCTGAGCGACACACATGTGGTGTGGTTCCCTCCCCCAAAACACTAAAAGTTGGTAAACCAGGCTCAGTGGCCTTCAGTTGTAATCCTAGCACCAAGGAGGCAGAGGCATGAGGATCATGAATTTGAGGTCAGCCAGTTTCAAGTTAACCTGTTTTACACAGGGAGGTCCTGTCTCAAATCATTAATAAATGAAAAACATATAAATAGCAAAAAATTTTACTGCCTCAAGACCTCCAGACTAAGCATCTAAATATATATAAAAGAATAGGCTCCGTGGTGGTGGTGCACACCTTTAGTCCCAGCACTCGAGAAGCAGAGGCAGGTGGATCTCTTTGAATTTGTGGACAGCCTGGTCTACAGAGTGAATTCTAGGACAGCCAGGGCTACACAGAGAAACCCTGTCTCAGAAAACAAACAAACAAAACCTGCCCAAAACAAAAACAAAAAAACACAAAAAAAAAACCTCAAACAAAGAATGGGATGTTCAGGCCCCTATGGGATGGACAGTGCTTTTTTATTAAATTATTACATTTATTTGTGGGCAGGGCTAGGTGTGCCATTGCACAGGGGTGGGGATTGACTCCCCCTGTCTACTTGTGGGTCTAGGTGACAGAACTTAGGCTTGGCACCTTCACCTGCTGGACCAACTTGTTGGCCCCTGTTTTGTTGTTTTTGAGATGAGTGGCTGGCTATACAGTCTGACTGGCAAGGAACTCAAGACCTTGGAGTCACCTGCTTGTGCCAGCCCCACCCCCTTTTGTTTTGTTTTTTTGAGACAGGGTTTCTTTGTGTACCTTGGTGCCTATCCTGGAATTGCTTTGTAGACCAGGCTGGCCTCAAATTCACAAAGATCTGCCTGTCTCTGCCTCCCGAGTGCTGGGATTAACGTGTGCCACCCCTGCTCAGCTGAGTAGCACATTTAAAGGCCCACCCGAAACCTTGTAAAAGGTTCAGGATGGAAGGTGGTTCAGTCTCTCCCAGCTCCCCAAGGAAAAGCCATCAGGAAGTCCATCTCTGCAGTAACCATCTTTAAAATTTATCCACAGCCAGACATACATGTGTGATGCCTCAGGGTTCCCACTCTGGCTCACCTCAGCAGCATTTCTTGTTTGGGTTACTTCCTAGGTATCTACCTTGCAGGCTATGTCTCCATGCACAGCCAGAGAGAAACTACGGTAGCTGGTATCCCCTCTTCTCTGCTTGGAGTAGCTCCCTTCTTGCTACGAACCCTGCATGCTCACACCCACCCCATCTCGGG